AACTAGGAGGAGAGACTAGGGTGGTCCGTGCAGTGCTAGGGTGAACACAAGATGCAGCAGAGGCCATGGTGTGCAGAATGGCATGGGCTTTCTACACAGAGGAGGGCTGAGAGGATGAGCTAGCTACTTTCAGGGATGTGGACCTTGGGCATGAGAGAGAGAAAGAAAGGCATTTCTCACAGTGCAATATCCAATCAGCAACAGCTAGGCACATTAGAAGCATAGGGCTCCAACCCAGGCCTTTGGAGCCAGCCCCTTGGCAGGCGGGGCTTCCACGCCTGTTGTGAGGAACAAGTCTTCCAGGAGACTGATGCTCCTTGAAATGTAAGACGACTCAGATACAGAGGATATGGAACAAGGTGGGGGCTGTCACCCGGGTAGACATGAATCCTGGCTTGATTTTGTTGAGTTCGAGGTGCCTGTGGGACTGTCTGGGTGGAATGCTGCAGGCCAGGCTTGGGGCCACAGCATACCAGCCCCTGGGTGCTTCTTACTTAGCAGCCAGGCTGCCCCTGACCTGCCTTACCACAAGCTGGATTCAGATGTGGACCCCTGGTGATGGTTGTGCACAGGCTGCAGATTGAAGGTTAATATGGGGTTCATGCCCTGAAGAGGGGTCCAGGAAGGAGCTAGAGATGTGGGAAGTGTCAGTTACAAAGCACGGTTGGAGGTGACCCACTTCCAGGGAAGTACAGAGCTAGGGAGAGGGTGGCAGGACATCACAGAGCCCCTGAGGGGTAGCCAGGCTGTCAGGAGGAAAGGGCCATTTGCCACCATTTTCTCAAGAACCAGCAGCTTCCTCAGACATCCATTGGATGACCCGGGCCTGGAACTTGGCGATATCAGAACCCTTTGGATCCATTGCTGTGAGTCTGTCATGGAGCTGTACTGGGGGAGGAGCTTTGTTCACTTCTGTTACAGCTGGAAAATGGGAGAAGTAGGGGGAAAAAATCATACCTGATTCTCAGAAGTTACCCAATAAAGGCTTATAAATGTTGAAACAAATGATAGAAAATTAATGGTAAGAGCTGCTTTCAGATTGAAAAAATATATTTTCCTTCACTAACCTTGATTTCATATTTATAGCTAAGATGGGAATATTTACAGTAAGATGGGAATTACCCATGCTCTCATCTTTAAAAAGAAAACAGCTTTACTGAGCTATGATTTACACACCATAAATTTTACCATTTTAAAGTATGTATGTCAGAAGTTTATATATATTCCCAAAATTATGCCACAGTGACTGCTGTCTAATTACAGAGCATTTTCATATTACCTAAAAAGAAACCCTGTTCCTCCTAGCAATCGTTTTCTTTTCTGGTGCCCTCACCGCCCCTGGAAACCACTTTCTGTCTCTGAGTTTGGTTGTTCTAGACCAGTGGTGGTGAACCTATGGTGAACTGTTTGTGTCATTGAATGTTCTGGAAGGTTCACCATCACTGTTCTAGACATTTCATAAATAAGATCATGCAATGTCTCTGGCTTCTTTCACTTAGGGTGTTGTTGAGGTTCATCTGTGTTACAGGATATATCAGTACCCTATCCCTTTTATGACTGCCTCGTACTCCATGCTAAGGGTAGACTGTGTGTCATCTCTACATCAATTAGGTGATAGGCATTTGAGTTGTTCCCACCTTTTGACTGTTATGATTAATGCAGCTCTGGGCATTCACATATAAGTTGTGTGTAGATGGATGTTCTTCATTTCTCTTAGGTGTTAACCTAGGAGTGGAATTGCTAGGTTATAAGAGAACACAATTGAACTTTTGGAGGGGCTTCTGGAATTTTTGCAGAGTGACTACAGTTTACACTCCTACTAGGAATAGATAGGAGTTTCAGTTTATCTTCCCCAACCCTTATGATTGGCTGTCTTTTCCATCATAGCCCTCTTGCTGAGTGCAGCAAGGCCATGAGGCTCATAGGGTGCAATGGTGTAAGGTGACATCACCCTTAGATTCCAGTCAGCACCCAGAGGACCCTGAGAGCACCCCTGACATGGTAAACCCAACCAAGAGATTTCACTGCAGCAGCCTAGCTCTGGTCCTGTTAGGAGACACTGAGGGTTGCAAAGATAGAGTGCCTTACTCACAGTGTGTGACAGAACCAGGATTCAGACTCAGGAGCCCTGACTTTGAGGTCTGGGTTGTAAACCACACTGCAATCCGTTGACCTCCACCTCTCTGCTCTCTGAACCTTGCCTTTTCTGTTGCTTTCTCAAGGCCTGACTTTTAGAAATTAGCCAATATTTTGATGAGTAGGGGAGCAGAACTCCAAGGTAAAATTCCATAGCTGGGATCTGGTGGACTGAGCAGAATGAATCACCTTAACAGGCTCCTGGGCATTGACTGTATGCCCTCCTGGGAGGGTTATCTGGCCACAGGGTACCACTCAGCCACAGCTGTGCTTATTGTCACAACTTTGTATAAATCTGTCCCCTTCTATGGAGGCCCCTAGCATGACTGACTCTCTTCTGCGTGGGTAGAGGCCACTTTGAAGCACCCGGATTATTGGCTCTGACCAGTTATAGGAAAGCAAGAATTTTCCTGCCCAAATGGGGTAGAAGCTGTCACTTATCCAAGTATACTAAGTCAAAGACTTTAATCTCTCCTAATCACACCTTGTTTGACTGCTTGTTCTTTTTACTCTGTTCATCATAATTAACTGGTTGGATTTGAAGCATCATCTTTGCATTGATGTTGCTGTTTCTGTAGGTTTCCGTTGGTTCTTGGATTTAGGCAAAACATCCTATAGGGCACTGTGAATTCAAAGGTAGACATTTCTGCCTAGGCGTGAGTTGCTAGGTAACCTTGGGGAAGATGCTTACACAAGCCATGTGCCAATGCCAGATTCTTGCTTGGTTCCCCAAGAGTGAGATCAATTCTGTCTCGGTGCCCACTGCTGAGGGACAACAGAGAAGCCTGTCCCAGGCAAGCAGGTCTTTTAGATGTGTCACAGACTCAGAGTTCTGTTTTAACCTCATTGTTATTTCTCTCCACTAAAAATAATATTTGCAATGGGAATATTTGCATGGGATTTTGACGTTTTTGCATGGAATTTTAGTTCTGTGACTTTGTCCTTTAAAGCTGTAAGTCCAATGATCAGAGCACTGGCATTGTCTGGAAGCTTGTTAAAATGCAGAATCCAGGCACCACCTCGGACTTCCTCAAAGTCAGATTTACCACTGAACAAGATCCCAGGTAACTTCTGTCACATTTGAGATGCACTCTTCCAATCTCCTTTCTCTGTTATCTTCAGCTAAGGCTCCACTGAGTCCATAGCTCAAGGCTAGGTTTTTTGGTAGGTGGTCAGATCTTGAAAGCATATGCACATAGAAATTCCTTCCTTTGCCTTTACATGATGTCATTCATTTTACCTGGCCTACCACAAGAAAGAAAAAAGCAAATCACGTCCAAGTTTTTATATATATGTAAGACTAACTTCTTAATTGCATCTGTTAAAGCCTCCATCATTAACCCAGTCCTAAGTGTTGCCAAGATTAATCGAGAAATACTTACAGGCAAAATAAACACTGCAGCCAAGAGATTTAATTCACAACCATATCAGCTGAGGATGGAGGTGCAATTAGTGATAAAAATGTTAATAATTAGTCGTGGCTGTGTTACATTTTACATTCAGTGGTTACATAGAGTGAAGAAAGACTTTCCTCAGGAGGGTAGAAATCAATGTTTCACCTTGATTGCTGTTTTAATGGGCTTATTTTAATGAGGCCATCCTGTGGAAACCCTTGGGCGCATTTCCAATTTTACATAAATGCAGAATTAATTATTATGGAAGCATATAATTTTAGAGTTGGAGCAACCTTGGCGGTCATTTAATCTAGTTCCGTCATTCTGCAGATGAGTGAGTCAGATGGCTAAAATCCTTCCACAGAGCCTGGGAGGCTGAGCTTCCTGACCTTCAGACCAGAGATGGTGACACTTCTTCAGATCCCTTCGGAGGGAAGGACTTCCTCTTGCCTCAGAATTCCCAGAGCACGTGGGTGGCTTTGCCTTCACTCAAATGATGTTCTTATTGCTTTCAGTTATAAGGCTGGGGTCTTGGGACCTGTGTCTGAATCTTGGTTTTTTTTTTTTTTTTTTTTTTTTTTTTTAAACCATTCCTAGCTCTGTACTTTGCAAAGAGTAGTTGCACAATAAATTCCTGTGCAGTGCAATTCTGGGCTGCTCTTCGTCTGTCTGGTAGAGCTATTGAGCCTTCATCTTAGCTAAAAACTGGCCACAGTAGAAGTTGTTATGCTGTGGAATGAGCAAATACCTTTAACTCAGGGCTTGCCATACCCCAATAGTCTTACTTGTCAAACTTTTACCGCCACATGAGTTTACTTGGTTTTGAAAAAGATCCATGCCCGTGAGAAGATGACCATTTACCCGTTACTTAGCATGGGTTGCCCCAGTGGTGACAGAGTAGCTGTTTGCTCAAACCCCTTAGATCTTCTGAGGATTCAGGGCAGTGCACGCCACTCTTGAGGACTGCCTTAGATTTTGGCTGCTCAACTAATTTCCACTTACTTGAAAAGCTCTTTGGGCATAAATGGTAATGGAAACAGGATCTGGAATATCAGGCACAGTTGAGTGAGAAAAATATATAATATCTGAAAAAAGTGAATATGAAAGTTACAATGCCTGAAACAACAGTAGCTTTGTATTTCTCAAGAAAAAACTTTAGTAGCACCCTGTGACCCACAAAAATACCTGAACTCCCTAGCATAGGAAGCACTGCTGTCCTGACCTTGTTTCTAACCCCTTAGGTTACTCACTGCCACCCGGCGTTGGGTCTCACCAGCCTCTGTGAAGTCTCTGCTCCAGTCTCTATGGCATTAACTGCTTCTGGGACACCTTGCCTCCTCCCCAGGGCACTGCAGGTCCTCTCCCAAGTGTCTGTCCCTTCTTCATCCCCTGTAGCAGGGCCCAGAGTGTCTGAGTTAACATGAAAATTTGTATGACTTGTCATCTTCTCTCTTGCGTGTCTGTCTTCAGGAGCAGGACCCAGGGTCCCATCGGTCCCGGCAAGTATGGCTATGGCAAGGCCCCGTACATCTTACCACTGCAGTCGGACACCACACACACGCCAGAGAGACTGCGAAGACAGAGGCCTGCATCCAGGCCATCCAGGTCCCAGGGAACATCTGCTGCCAGTCATGGCTACAACATGCCAGCCCACCAGCTCCCCCACCATGGACCTCTGTACCAAAGCGAAAGTGGCCCTCATTCTGGACAACAGGCCTTGGAGGCCTCCATCTACCAGCTGCCTTTGACCCATGATCAAGGCTTCCCTGCAGCTTCAAGTCTCTTCCACAGCCCAGAAGCAAGCAGCAGCCATGACGTAGGTGCCCACAGAGGGGATCAGAGCTTCTCACAGCCACTGCGGTCTGCAGCTATCTCGTGTATCGGGGCCTATCGGCAGTACAAGCTCTGCAACACCAATGTAAGTACGTGCCAGCCCAGGCTGGGTGTGGAAACAGCTGGCCTGTTTGCTTTCTGTCTTGTTGGCCCTGAGCAGGTGGAAGACAGGGCAGGAGGACAGTGGATGGAGCCTGTCAACAGACTTCTTTATAGTGCAGTCATGCAGATCTTTAAAATCTCCTTCCATGTCTTTGCTCTCTATGCATTCTCTCCCGTATACTTTACTTTTCTGTAAGGGGATTGCATTAGTAACTTAGGTGTTGCTTATGAAATCATTTATTGATAATCACTTTATAATGATATTAGCAATTGCTGTGTCACAAATAACCCAAAATTCTCAATGATTCCATATAAATCAAAGAGATTTATTCTTTGCTCATGAGTCTGTAGGTCACATGCAGTTTGGCTGATTTAGGACAAGAGCCATGAAGCCAATGAAGTGGGATTTGGGGAGGTACCACTCAATTTGCTGGAGACTCGCCGCTGTTCCAAGCATAACTCTCCCGTGTTAGGTATTAAATCATGAAGGAGCCTGGTAAGATGTCATGAAGAATCTCCTTGTCCTTGTCTTAGGGGAAGAGCTAGAATGGCTGGGGTGATGAATGGCATGTGAACTCCTCTATGAAGCACTTACTTACTGACTGGTGTGGGAGAATTTTAGTATTTTAAGACCTTGTATAGTGACCTGGTGTATACTGGCTGAATACCTCTTTGGATGGTAGTTCAATAAATATTTATCAATTCCATCTTCATGCATTTTAATTAGATACTGTACATTTATTTAAACCTCAGGACATGCCAGGCCTTGAACTCAGCACTTTCTTTACTTGCACTGTTTAATCCTCTCCTTAACCTGTGGAGTTTTTTTTTCTTCTCTCTATTTTACATGCTCTATTTTTTTCATTAATAATTTAATCTGCCCTAATACTCTGTTACTGAGCAACAGGACAGCTGTTAAATGTTAGATTCAGTTTTCTTATTAAACATATATTTCCTGGTAGAGAGTCCATAGAAATGACTTAATTTGTGATCTTAATAATTTGTGTGAATGTCTGGATTGCTCTTTTGTCCACTGACAGACTTCAGGAATTATTGATATCTATAAAGCAGTAGTTTTTCTAAAGCCAATACTAATTGGTTAAGCAAAAGTCTTAGTTGAGAATTGTTGCTGGTCTGGTAAAATGCTGGATGCCATGGAAGGAAGAAGAGAAAAGTACATTTGTACTAGAGATCACAATGAAGTAAAGTTTAAAAAGTAAGGAATTACTTGTGTACCTGATTGGACATAGTCCTTGTTCCTGGATACCCATTTCTGTTCTGTTAAAATGAAATTGATTATAGAATATTCCCCACTGACTAATGCAACTCTTCATTGTGAAAACTAAGAATACCATAAATAGAAAGGAAAAGAGAAAACACATTTGGCCTGCATGTGCAGCTGGCATCTACTTGGCACTTCTTTCACTTAACTTGCATTTTTAAAGCATGCACTTTGTGTAGGGGGTGCGGTGCTGAGATAGGGTTGCACTGTCTCGCTCAGGCTAAGTAGCCCAAATTGGCCTTGAGCTCATAGTATCCTTCTGCCTCAGCATCCTGTATGCAGGAATTATAGGTGTGTACCAATACACCTGACTCAGCTATGCACTTTTTACTACTAGAACTATGATGCCCACCAGACAGTTCTCCCTGTGGGAAAGGGGTGGTCTTCTGGGTCTGGGGCCCAAGGTCATTGCAACATGGCGGAGACTGACTTGCAAGAAGTCTTAAGAAATACCCATGGGTCCACAATGTCCTCTGGCATTTTGAAAGTATATACAGTAAGTTCTCCAACCCATGGCCAAGAAGTAAATGTTGACGTAAGACAACCCAAGTTTAGTCCCCTTCTTCTCACTGTGGCATTGTGGACAGTGTCCTTCCAGGTGCACCCACTGCCCTGAGTCCACATCCTTATTGCCTTTACCCAGAGGTGGTATTCCTTAGGGCAAGAGTTCCATGGTTGGGCATAATTCTTTTAATAATCTCATAGCTTCTTGTGACTTGGGCCACATCTCATAAATACTGTAATATTCTTCCTGTCATAGGTCACTGTAACCACTCCTGGGTGTGATCATTCTGTAAAAGACTTGGCATCATCATCACACTGGTGGCTATGAGTTATTACAGTGGAAACACACATAGCAGAATTAGCCATGAGAAAGACCAAGTCCAGAGGAAACAGATTCCCGAGAGTTCTCTGCCCATGAGGTCACCCAGGACAAAGCATCATTCCTGCAGCAGTGAATTGTTACAATATGTGTGAAACACGAGTTCCTTTTGTTCCTCTGTGTTAACTGTCCTTGAACTTACAGTCTTCCTGCCTGCGCCTCCTGAGTGCTGGGATGACAGGCACATGCCACCAGTCCTCTGTCCAGTGATGGAAGTGGATGGCTGGGCGACCCGACATTTCATCTGTGTATAGCTTCAAGGCAGTCACCTTAGGACCAAAGTATTAAAATGCTGAAAGTGACATTATAGAGAACTAACCAGCTGCCAGCGAATTCTTCACCACCTCCATCTTGCGTGTGAAGATTCAGCCCTGTTTGGCTCCTGTATGATTTCCTGTCTGCAGCACTAGCGTGACTGCCTTGAAGCTACACACAACTGAAGTGTTGGGTCACCTGGCCATCCACTTCCATCACTGGACAGAGGACTGGTGGCAGCACTAGAATCAGTAAAGGCTCAGTGCTAGTGACTTCTGGATGTAAACTTCAGAGATGAGGAGAGCCTTTTATTTATTTGTTTGTTTGTTTATTTAGTTATTTAACTTACAGTGTGGTAGAGGCAGCTGAGGTGAGGGCCCTGATAGGAACTCTGGTCTTTTTGAATCAGTCTCAATCTTAGCCATCTTTTCTTATGACTCTGTCTCTCAGCCTTTCTTCAGTGCAGGCCAGGTTACCCAGTCCTGACTCTATAGGAGTCACTACTGCAGGATCACAGCGTGACACTGATTTAGAGGGGTCAGGTATCGGGGTCTGGGTCAGGGATGCTGAGGTTCGCAGAAATGGACCCTGACAGAGGTGATGATAGCGTGGATGACACTTGTTATGTTGGCACTGTTGTTTGTTGTTTTATTTCTTTGTGCTGGGCAAGTGACCCAGGGCCTTTGGCATGCCAAGCAGGTACTCTACTACTGAGCCCCTCTTTGGCTTTTTGAAATTCCCGGGTGGTGAGTTGGCCTCAGTTGAGTGGATTTACTAAAGGAATCATGGAGAAATGCAGATTACCCAGGCAAGGGGAAGATTCTAGGAAGAGGAAATGAGTGCCTGGTGCTCAGACACCTCACTGTGAGATCTGGTTGGTGTCTTTCCAAGGAGTGAAGTCTTCCCCTGAGTCTGTGCTCAGCAGTGAAAGGCCAAGATGAAGAGTCAGTGTGATTTGTCTGCAGTCCTGTACTCCCCAGTAGTGCTGAGCTAATGGCTCGAGGAGCCAAGTCAATAGTTTTGTTTTTATGGAAACTCACTTAAGCTCAGGCTAGGGGAAAGAGAGGCTAGGCTTCAGTCTTTCTAGTGCCTGATGGGTTGTACTTTAAAAAACCTTTTCTATTAGCTGTTTCTGGGGTTTACAGTGGTATTTGCTAAATGCATCAACTCACCAAGGCACCTTATGCTCTTTGTCCCAGGGCCTAGGTATCTCTCATTGTTGCCTTCTCCATAATGCTCTGAATTCTGCTCTTTTTCCCTAGAAAGGAGGCCCATACTTTGGCCCCTCTGGATGGGTGGGCTGGAGCTCATCACCTGTGCAAGGCAGACATGGGGTTTTGCGTTTTCAGAGGCTCTGCTGCCTAGGGAAGCCTGATCCTGGCTTTAGACAGAGTGCACTTAACATGTTGAGGGGAAGGACCCCTGGGGCTGAAAGAAGCTTTTAGCGAACATAGATGTGAGATCCCTGATTCCCTGGCACTTTTCCTGAGGTGGGGCCCGCTCCGGAGGATGGATTTATCCATGTGGAATTGTTTTTGCCTCAGAGTAAGTGACAGTGACGGGAAGATGTTGGCCAAGTCTCAAATGTAGCTGAGGGTGCTGCTGTCTGCACGCAGATTCTTAATTCCACCCCGTCTGGTCTGATATTGAATGGAAGAGGTACTGACAAACAACTTCCTGGCACTGATTCAAAACCTTTACTTCTCGTGATCATTTTGACTTTGGGAAAAGAGCCAGAAGTCACCAGGCTCCAGATTGAGTGAATGAGGAGGATGAGGGAACACTTTATGTTTTTAAAAGCCTGCCTTTCCATTGGATGGCACTCACATGGTTTTTTTTTTTGTTGTTGTTGTTGTTATACCTTATGAAGACACTCATAAAAGAGGCTTGTAGAACTGCTGCAGAAAGTGGCAGGAATGATGGGATGTGTGCCTTTGTGTGGTGTTTCAGACTCTGCCCCGACATGCAGTAGAGGGGATGGAAGTCAGCCTCATTAATGGTATACCTGTCGTGGTCACAAGGAACTTTATGTTCCTTAGGACAGTAAGAGTTTTGGATACTTTAGTTTTGTGATATATGTTCTAGTTATTTAGGAAAATAAGGCATTCTTTCTCAAACATAGAGCTCTGAAAAAGGCAGAAATAAAAGAGCATCCTGGAATAGGCAGAGATTCATATAGATGTTTGTCAGGAGTATTTAAATATGTAGCACTTTCCTGGGTGAATGGGTATAGTCATAATAACATCCTTTGGGATCTTAGTGTATGTAATGAATGAGAGGAAAACACCTTTCTCTAGGAGAACAATATGAACTTCTTCTGGGTGGAAAAAAAGCGTATTTGAGAACTAAGAAAAATTCATATTTAAAAAAAAAAAATCAAAGCCTGGACCCAACTCAGAACAAATCAGTGTAGGATAGTGGGAGGTAGCAAAAGACATCCAAGGTTGAGTTTGTCCTGTGCAACTTGAGAAAGAAGATACTAAACATATTTGAGAAATATGCTGCGTTCTTTGATTTAAAGCATAACAAATGTTAGCTGATCTGGAACTTGGAAGCTTTAACTTGAGGAGTGTGTGTGCAGTAGGACAGGTATGTAGGGACAGGGTTCCTGTAGCTAGGGAAACTTGGGCACGTGGTTCTATTGCTGTACAGTTGGAAGCCTGTTTTCCAGCTGTAGAAGAGAGGGACTGTTTGCTCAGAACACAGGCTTTTCAGGCGCTCATGGTTTCTACAACTGTTGGATCCATCTTTGGTGCCTTAATTCAGCTAACATTTACTGAGTTGTGATCTGGTAACTTTGGTGTATGTTAATTTCTTTCTCACAAAAATCCTGGAGACTGGGGACTTTGACAGAGGATGGGTCCAAGACTTGTCATTTAGATGTGATAATTTAAGTTTTGAGTAGCTAAGCAAGTGTATTATCCAAGATCATTCACCCACTTTCTCATGGCAACTCAGGATTCTAGATTCTCTTTATTAGATGTCTTCACTGGTAACGTTAAATACATCATCTGTTGCTATGATAGGTGATCGTCTGATTGAATCCAGAGCAAAGTCAAGGGTGAAAAAAAATGCATGTCTGACCCAGGTAGGCTGTTAAGTCCTATTCCTGGGCTGCACCTTCTGTGGGCTCTTTACTCTTCACCTCCTGGGGGAGGGAAGTGATTAGTTACAAAATTGAGTGTTTGATCCCCTCGGCAGCCTCCTGAACAATGGTCATGGTATGCAGGGTTGTCATCTCAGCTTACTCAGGGTCACCAGAAAGGCAGCTGAAGTTTCTGAAATACTCTTAGTGAGTCATTGCAGCCCCAGGCAGTTGTCTTGATGGTCCACTGGAGAGGGTCTGTGTTATTTATAAGGATTGACCCATCTTGTTGAAGTACATCTTTATTTTGTCCCTTTGAGAGTTTGGTGGGAACACCTTACCTACCCTCTTTGGGGCAGAAGGGAGTCATCTGGAGGAAGATTCTCTCCTGAGTGTTATTTGGCTGTAAAGCTCAGGTCCTAAAGGAACCTGTTGTCTATCTACCAGGCTCCCTCGATGTCCTTCTCAGCTTTCTGGCCTGAAGCTCTCAAGAATTCATGCCTGTGTAAAGGACCTGCTCTTTCAGGAAACCTCCCCAGGCCAACTTGTAGTGCAACATAAGAGATGATTGCTGACACAGTGAAGGTCACTCGGAAAGACGCAACTGATCTAAAGTGTAACAAATGTAAGATGATCTGTAACCTGGAAGCTTTACCTTGAGAGAATGTGAAAATGAGAGGAGATTGTGTGCAGATAAAAATAGGACAGCTATGCAGGGATAGGAGTCCCCATGGGTAGGGAAAAGATGGGATGAATGCCTCACTGAGCTTGATTAAAAATTAATAAGACAGGGCTGGGGATTTAGCTCAGCGGTGTAAGCACCTGCCTGGCAAGCTTGAGGTCGTGAGTTCAATCCCCAGTACCAAAATAAATAAATAAAATACAAATTAAAAAAAATGAAAAATTAATTAGTTTGACCTTTGCAGCCAGACTCTAGTAGTTAGAAGACAAAACAGCTAGACCCTGAGGAATTAGACAAAGACAGCTAAAGACAAGCAATTAGGAAGAAAAAAGCAAAGAACTCAGGACCTAGAAATTCCCAGATAGTGGTATAAATATAAGAATCACAAATTTCCCCTTTGCTTAACTCATAAATCCAAATAATCTGCCTTTAAGGCCCTCACTCCTAATTTCATTCTCCATCAAAGAACAGAGAAAGGTTGGATGGCCAGAAGAAATCCAAGGTTAAAATGAAAGGGGCAATGCCTGTCATTATAGTGCTGCAGAGGCTGAGGCAGAAGGATCGCCATGAATTGGAGGTCAGCCTGGGCTATATAGTGAGTTTAAGGCCAGCCTGTCTCAGAAGAAAGAAAGACCAGCCAGGAAGCCAATCAGATTCCAGGAGACTACATAGAAAGTAGGAACCTTATAAATAAAGAGCTGGGGGCTCCAGCCCACGAGCAGTTCACTTTCAAATTCTCCCTACTTGTTCTGAGTAGACGTCTGTCATTTCTCTTTTTCTCATTTCCCATCTTTAAATAAATTGTCTTATTTTATGTTAAACACAGCCTCTTTACTTCTTTACTGACACTGAGTTTAGGATCTCTGGGACCTGCTTTTTCCAGAAAAGCATTGGTTTGCAACCCACACCTGGACATTGCAAGTACAAACAGATGTGATCTACAAAAGAGACGTGAAACCTGTTTTCTCTGGCTTTGCATGGTTTTAATCCTCACCGAATAGCTCTGCTCCATTTATTTATTTAGCTTTTGAGATATGTTTTCAGGCTGACTTTGAACTATGTAGCCCGTGATAGCCTCAAACTCACAGCAACATTCCTGCCGCAGCCTCCTTAGCTGTGTTGACAGGAACAGAGGCTTGGCTCTCTTGTCCTTAAAGGTGGAGCCATTGCTTCACCAAACCTTCGAGGCTGAATGAATCAACTGGACCTTGGCCTACTAACATGAGTGTCAGACCCAAAATGTCTGGGTTCAGATCCTGACTTGAGGATCACTGGCCCTGTGAACTGGGGCACATTATTGAACTCTTCATTGTTTTGGTTTCCTCATGTATAGGTTGTTGTTAGGTGTAAATGAGTGAACCTGTACACCTCTCCCAGCAGAGTACTTGGCGTTTAGCAAGTACTGAAGAACAGGCAGCTCTCCGGATAGCTGCCCTCATTCCTCAGACTCTGCCTTCTCCCCTGCACACAGTTCTGTCTCAGTAACCTGCTTGCACGCCTGGGCTCCACTAGCTCTGCATCTCTTCAGCCAGGTTCCTCTCCTCCCCAGAAAGTTGTCCCCAGCTCCAAGTGATGGTTCACTTGGCACCACATGAGTCACTGCTCGGGGTCACAGTGGAGTCAGGGCCATCTGCCAGGGCACCTCTTACCTCCTGTCGCACCCTCCTCTGTCACCTGATTGCTGGATCCTGCAGTTACCCTGCAGGCTCTGCTGATTCCAGATTCCTATGGTGCTTTGCTGCCCCAGCACCTGATCTTCTTCTGTGGGGTCTAGGCTGCCTTGAGCCTCCATCAGGAGGGCTCTGGGCTAGGTTCAGACACAGAGAACTTGCTGGTGGCCCATGGACTTGGTATACTGTCTGACTGATTGGCTTCATGTGTGTTCTGTGGACATTACAGATGTCTGTATGAGCACTGGGCAGTAGTGGAATATTACAATGTACCATGAGATGGAAATTTTGCATGTGTAAAAAACTGGCTCAGGGCCACTATGTTTGGAAGATCTCAATACTGATTAATTCTTTTTATTGCATATGTATATATAGCAGGAAAATTGGGCAGTAGAAATAAACTGAAACTTAATTGTGAAGCAAAACCATCTATAATCCTACCTTCATTACAAAGAAGCATCTTAACCAGAACCTCTTCCCAGGGACAGCTGGTGTCATCGGAAGCCTGGCTGGGTCCAGAGTCAGGCAGCCAGCAAGTCGTCTTCTGGAACCCCTGCCTGGCAGTTTCTCAGGGATGTCAGCGCTCAGCCCACCCTGCCTGTCCTCCCACCCTTTTTTCCCCTATGGATCCCATCACAGCCTGCTTCTTACAGTATCTTGCTCCATATGGCTTGGCTGTGGCCACAGCCGGGTTTTGAACACCCTGGGGTTAGTGCCAGCAGCCTCCCTGCCCTGTTTGCCCTTTGCCAGGCCTCATTCCTCACTATGACCCTTCATTTTCTGGGAGACTGGTGTCTAAAGCATTCAGGAGATTTCTTTATGAATCCTGAGAACTTTAAATGTACCAGGAATTGAACTCATGACCTTGCGCTCGCCAGACAGATGCTTATGCCTCTAAGCTAAATCCCCAGCCCCTTTCCAAAGACTTTCTACACATAGTTGTATTTTTTATTTTTATTTTTGTTTGTTTGTTTTTGTTTTTTTAAATATTTAAGGACCCGGGATTGCTTCTCTTCCCTTCTAATAATACATACACATGCGCGCGCGTGCGTGTGCACACGCACACACACACACACAACACTTTGAAATGCACACCCACATCATTTCATTTTTAAAAAGCACACAGAAAGTTAGATCCTGCTTTATCTACAATATGAATTAGAGATTCTGATTTTGCTTTTATTTTTCATACTCCTTTCATGTCGTGCTCTGCTCTATTTAAGATTTCTAAATGAAAGAAATCAACCAGAAAGAGCTGCATATTTTCTTTCTAGTCTAGGGTGTCAGAGTCACCTGGATACAGCTGATAACATATGGACTCCTGGACTTCATCCGGGACTTACTGAATAGTGATCTCTGGGGGAGGGCCAGGAGTTTGGGTTTCCAGCAGGATCTCTGGGTGATTCTTTTTTCACGCTAAAGTGGGAGCACCAGCTTGAGAGTGTGGACTGAATTTAGAAGAGATGAGGAGGGTAGTGAGAGAGCCTGGTGGCCTCCTGACTTCTTAAATGTGAATCTAGGCTCTGCCCTTCCCAGCTGTGCACTCCTCCGTGCCTTCATTTGCCCCTCTGTGGGTAAACTGTGAAGCTGTAATATTCACCTCCTTAGTATTATGAGGACTAACTGAGTTAATACTTGTAATCACTGACAGTGATGGCTAGCTCAGGGTGATGGCCTGGGATGTGCTTGCTGTGGATGTTACTCTGCAAGAGGAAGGGATGCACAATGTCAAACTCAGGTGGAACTGGGTGTCCCCAGTGAGGGAGGTGAGTGGATCCATCTGTCAGGATCAGAAGGTTCGTCTCAGTGGCTTTCAAATTACAATGCACAGACAATTAACCTGGGGAGCATGTTCAAAATGTAGTATCTCTAGGAGATTCTGAGTCAGAAGACTTGGACCAAAGCTGGGGATCTGCACTTAACAATTTATGATGCAAGAATTCAGCACATTTTGAGAAACCCTGGCTTAGAATAGGAGGACTGGTATTCAGAGTCAAAAGGTGACCTCAGATTTTCCGGGAGTATGTGAGGATGGTCGCTAACACCTTCTCTCCTGTCGCTTTGTTAGGCCTGTCCAGAAAGCAGCAGAAGCATTCGTGAGGTTCAGTGTGCCTCCTACAACAACAAGCCATTCATGGGCCGCTTTTATGAATGGGAACCATTTGCAGAAGGTAAGAGCGCACCAGCCTTATCTGTGGGAATTGTTTTTGTCTGTTCTCTGATGTTGTTGCTTTCTGGGGCATTGGGGTGACCCTGGATGGAGCATTGGTAGAGGAGAAAATGTTGACCCCATGGCAGAGTGAGCCACGGGGATCTTCAGCAGTGGTAGCACGGTCAGTCGCAGACTCAGCTGAGACCTGGGGCCACACCCGGCAGTGAGGGGGTTGGAACAACATTTAAGGACCTGGTTGAAACAGGAGGTTCAAACATAAAGCGTGAACACTGAGCTGGGATTGGGGGTTCTATTTCTCTTTCTTATCTGCTACAGGTAAGGAGCTGATATGGGGGTTTAAGAGCACCCACAGAGGTGCAGAATTGATAATTGCCTTCAAATACTATTTCCAAAGATAAAAGAATAGTGGGTAGGCATTGCCCAAAGTCCCTGCCATTTAAAAGTGACAAAAAATCTTGATAAAGTTGGTCCATACTCACTGGAGTCATTCTCTTTGGTGAAACTCAGGTGCTAACATGAATTTTGGACTGAGAAGTGTTAAATTCTGAGATGTTTCTGACACTCACAGAGAAAGTAAACTCTCTAGTGATATCTGGTCAAGCAGAATGGGAGCGCCCTCTGTAATGAGCAGCTGGCTGGAAGAGGAGTCCAGACTTTCAAGGGCTGGCTGAAGAGCGTCACCTGGTCGGTGTTTCTCAGCCTCAGACCTCGGCAGTGGCTGGGGCAGCTGGTGCTGGCCAAAACCCAGAGCGTGACCATGACCCCTATGTCCAGGACCCAGAGATAGTGTCTGGGGACAGGGTTTGATAGTCCCGCACAGAGTTGTGCGGATTGTGTTACAGAATCAATGCCCAGGGAGACCAAATTGTGGTGGAAGTACCTAACCTAGAAGCCCTTGGGGACAGGAAGGAGTATCTGTGTCCCACTGCTCTGAAATTGGATGCAAACTTGACACTGCCTATGCATTGTTCTCAGAGGAGAGTCTGTAGTTGCTGTTAGATTCTCAGAGTGGCCATGTGAGCTCAAAACTGCTGGGAATGAACTCAAATGAAAAATCAGGGCCATCAGATCCAAATAGGAAAGATGCACAGATGAAACCTCAAGTGGGCTGAATGTAAATATTGAAGGTATGTACAAGGTTGGACGGTCACAAGGGAAAGAAGCTGGAATGGAAATTTTAATGCTGTGGCTGGAGCTTTGTTTGGACCCTTTTTATTTTTAAAAGCAGCGTGCTAAGTTCTCAGTTGGAATCCTGTGGTCGATAAAGTGGATTGTTAGAAAGCCTGGTAAAGTGTGCATAGAGTGTGGTTTAGTTAGTACTATCATACCAGTAGTAATATCTGAAGGTTTTATATTTCCATCATGTCTTTATAGTATATAGGACCTTGCTGTACTGTTCTTGCAGCTCTTTATAATTTTGAAATGGTTTCAGAATAGATTATTGATTTATTTATTTTTGGCACTACTGGGGATTGAACCTAGGGCATTTGCACCAGTTATATCCCTGGCTCTTTTATATTTTCTTATTTTGAGACAAGGTCTGTGTAAGTCCATGCAGAGTGGGCTCGAACTTATGATCCTCCTGCCTCAGGCTCCTGAGTGCTTGTGTTACAGGCATGTGCAACCACACAGAAAGGCAGTGTGCTAGGTCTCATCTTACTCTGTAGAAGATAAAAGTCTGAGATTTAGTATGGGTGAGGCAGGGACGCTCGGTTAAATAGTGCCCTCCCCTTTCAAATTTACATCCTTCCTGAAGCCGTAGAATATGACCTTATTTGGAAATAAGGTCATTGCATAGCTATGGAGCTGGATGGACTCTTAGTATGGAATGACTGAAGTTCTTACAAGAAGAGAAAGGTCACAGTCAGATGAAGACACACCAAGTGACCATGAAGGCAGAGATTGGAGTGATGTGTGTATAAGCCAAGTAACACCAAGGATTTCCAGCAACCATCAGAAGCTAGGAAGAGGCGAGGGAAGGGTCCCCACCCACCTAGAGCCTTCAGTCTGCCACATCTCGTTTTTGGACTCACAGCTTCAGAACTGTGAGAATACGTTTCTGTTGTTTTAAGCCTCTGTAATTATGGCATTCTGTCATGGTAACTATATCAAATTGAAACAGGAAGGGAGGAGCTAGGGTGTGGATGGACTGAGATCTGTCCTGTGTGTAACTCAGAAAGTTGAGTTGATCTGACCAATTGGAGGAGAGGCCTTAGAGAAATTATATAAGAATAATTATGTAAAATAAAGGACACAAGATTCTGAAGCGTAGAGAGATTCCTTAGGCCTTGAGAAATGAGGCACACTCCAAGAGGGTAACCACCTTTGGATCTAACTCTGCCCAAGGCAGTGGTCTCAGCCCTGGGTCCTCATTAGAATGACAGAGGAGAAACACTGATCCTTGGGCTCCGTTCTGGAAACTGTTGGTCTGGGGTGCAGCACAGGCATCAGAATTTTTAGAAGATTCCAGACTATTCTAGTGGGCAGCTGAGAACTACCCATCTGGTGGGTAGATGAGAACCACCCATCCAGGAAAAGGGCAGGAACCGAAAGATGATGCCAGTTTTAATTGGAGGACAGAACCATGCGTGTTGTAAACCACGAGCTGCATCTTTACATCTGAGTAATACTTAATAGTGAATATCTGGAGAAGTGACACTGACATTTATCTGGACACATCCTTGCTTTCTCATTAGCTGCTTTATTGTCATTAGTTGGGAGGAAAGATGAATTTCCCCAGCACAGCACTCTGCTCAGTATACTCTGTGTCATCACATCCTCAGGAGCTGAAGCTGTATTGCCGGACATTGTCAGCATGGTTGAGGTGATTATCAGCCATCTGCTAAAAGACTTCAAGGCGGGGTAGACTTGGGCCTAACAATGGTAGCGCTACGTGGGCTGCAGAGAAAACACTGCGAGAAGGTTTTCACGTGTTACAGCTGCTCCCTGTGGAGCCCTGCCATTGCCTGGCGTGGGTACGATTCTACCTTCTCTGTTATTTTATTTCCCCTCATTTGTGCTGGGCTTTAAATATAAAACCTTAGAGAATTTATTTATTGAACATTTAATAGAGCTTATTTTTGGAAAATTTCAAACAGGTAGAATCAGGTCATGGCTATTTTTTTTTTTTTTAGAAATACCCCATCCAGATTATGGGAAAGTATTTGTATTCATATTATACAGCCTCATTTATTGCTGGATGTATCAATGAGATTTCTTGGTTGTAAGTGACAGAAACATAAATACATTTTAGCATGACAAGTGTTTTGTTGATCATGCTACTGGGAAATCAGGAGGTGGACTGGAATTTAGAAGTAGCTACGACCCAGAGAACCACTTTGCCTTCCTCATTTTTCTGTCTCTTGGTTTTGCCTACTTCTTTCTTCAGTAAGCAAGCGGGCTTACATGGTCAAATTGCATCTCCCAGAATGGTATGTTAAAGTCCCAATTGCCAGTCCCTGTACGTGTGTGCATCTTTGGAAGCATGATCCTTGCAGATGTAATAAAGATGTAATTTCAGAAAAGGTCATAGTGGAGTAGGAGAGGCCCTAATCTGCTGTCTACACCCGGTGGGGATGAGGACAAGACGCAGAGACTTCCTCCTGGGACTTCGGGGGTGACCACGCCCTTTCCAAGACCTCAGTTTCAGAGTTCTGGGCTTTAGAACTGTGAGAGAATACATTCCTGTCACGAGACAGTTTGAGTAATGTGTCACGGCACTGCTAGGGCACTCTCCTACCTGGTGACCGTGTCTGGCTCGGGAAGACTGCATGGTCTTGTCTGGGTCAGACTTCATCACTGGACCTAATTTAGAGACAAGGGGGTACTTGGGCTGGCTCAGGGCATGTGGCAAACGCTGTTGTGGGGAATGTACATCCCATGAAGCTGAGAGAGGGAAATGGCCATTGAGCAGACAGATTCTTCTACAAAAACCAGTGCGTACCTACTGACCACAAGCCACTGAGCCTTTTTAGTGAGCTAATTTAAGAGCCCTTGTGTTTCATAACGTGAAAAAAAAATGTAAAATGGCCACAGATTCTCTTCTATAATGTATTACTAGAAAGTTACTATTTAGAAATGTTTGCTGATGGTGGTGTTTCTTGCATACCTAGAAGGGGAGAAGGAGCCTAGGGTCACTGGGGTTGCATTTACTCTGGCTTTGTTCAAGTCATTCTTTTGTCTGCTCAGATCATTTTCTTGATTTTCTTCTTCCTCTTAAGTGACTCTCAGGCTGAGCAGTGGGAAGAAGACCTGCTAATGTTTCTACGGAGCATTCGTACTTTCTGGCGGGGTTTTACATTGGATTCTTGCTTTCATTTGGACATCTACTGTTACTTGCTTTTGCCTGCTTAGACAAACAGCTGCACACGTTCAGCCCAATGCCACACAGAATAGTAAAAGCAGAGAACAAACTCTGATAAACACATCAATTTCACCAGATGGTTCTTCTTAGCCCTTTAATCACATTTCCTGGATGCAGCAACCTATCCTTAGGTAATTCATCTGGGGGATTTTTCTCACAGTGCTAGATTTAGTATTGCAAAGAAGAGGGGTAGAAGGAGAATCAGGGTGCCTGTGTAGCCTTGCTGACCCAGAAAGTGCTGTCCCAGACCTCTTTCACTCCCTGACTGGCTTGAAGAGTGAATCATGCGGTCAGTGTTGCTGTTAGATTTAGGGTGCTGATGTGGGGAATATGATAGATTAGTCCCCCTCCTTTAAGAGTGGTACATTCCAAGCCCCCCACCCTTTGGATGCCTGAAACTGGGGACAGTACCAAGCCCTGTGCTTGCTGTGTCTTTCCACCTTTATGTATACCTATAATAAGTTTAATTTATAAATTAGTCACAGTAAGAGAGAAGTAAGAATAGTAAAATGGAACAATTACAACACTGTATGGTGCTAGACTGTAATGAAAGTTGTGTGGATGTGGCTTCTCTTTCAAAATACCGTGTGCCATAGATCATAGTAACCTCAGCATATGATTTTTTCTTGAGAACT